CACCCCCACAGGGTGAAAGCTGTTAAACATCAGTTGTGCTCCCTGGAGAATATTCCTTTGCATCATGAGACTGGATAGAGAATGACTGAGGCCAACTCAAGTCACTGGAAGCCAAGGCTCTTTCAGGCTACAGTACCTCCCAATCACTAATACCCACATGGTTTCTAGATCTTCAGACCAGAGCCTGGCATTCTACTTCTGCAATCATTACATGGGTAGTGAGAAAAAAGCTATCATGCAGTCATGAAGGAGCACTTTTGATCAATGCGCATATGCATTTCAAAAGATTATTTGAAGGTGCTTGTTTAGAATTCACTATACAAATGTGATGGTTAGATCACTAGGCCACCCCACAGAGGTCTGTGATCGCCCATACTGTATCTTGTGGTGCTTGTATTTGTGTGCTGGTAAATCCTGTCAATGTTTTTCTGGAAACATCGACCCAGGGTCCAATCTTGGAAAGGATGGTATAGATTCTCAGTATTGATTGCACATTGGAGTCTCCTGAGGAACTTTAAAAACTACTGCTGCCTGGTTCTACTTTCAGAGATTCTGGTTTATTTTGTCTCGGGTACAGCCTGGGCATTGAGATTTTTAGAAGCTCCTCAAGTGTGTCTAAAGTGCAATCAAAGTTGAGAATCCCAGTTATAGCACTAGAAGGCAAATCAGGTGAGCTGGATTGGAGTCCTAGCTTTCCATATATTCACTGTGTGACCTTGAATATTTCACTTATTTTCTCCAGGCCAGCATTATTTTTACATAAAGAATAGAGGCACTGATATCTGTTTTTTCTTCTTCTAAGTTTTAGGGTAGTCTGATGACCAAAAGAGAAAATATATATACATTTAAAAAAATCCTATTGCCATATAGGGAATGTAGTAAATGGTTAAGAACAGAGGTCTTGGAGTCATGGAGACCAGGTTCAAAGCCTGATTGACCACTCATTAGTTCTGTGACCTTGAACAGATTGCTTATCCTCACTAATCTTTAATTTCCTTTTTAGTAAAGGGAGGAGCATGAAATACTTACTAAAAAGGCTTTTTTTGAGTTTAAAAGAATGTCTGGGAAGGTCTGTGATATGCACTGTCCCTGGTAGATGGGAAATGCTCTACGGACATTATAGTTACTGAGGACTCTCTCTCCTGGTCAGTGGCATCAGCATATGTTTTCTTCTAGCTTCTCCTATTTACTGTGGAGTGAGAGCAACGACTTACTCAGCTCTAAGCTACTACTTCAGTGGCAGAGATCAGGGATGGGCATGAAAGACCCCTAGTTGTTTAGGGCTTTGTGGACCTCAGGCCAGCAACATGGGCATCACCTGGGAGATGGTTAGGCACGCAGAATCTCAGGCCCCGCACCATATCTACTGAGTCAGAATATACATTTTAACAAGATCACCATGTAATTTGTATGTACACTGATGTTTGAGAAGCACAGTCTAGGGTCTAAGGTGTGAGTGGGACCTCTGGATAGTCTGAGAACCCTAAATTAGGACTAGCCAGCTCATTCCTATCTGTTCTCTCTTCTGCAGGCATTGACTCCTTTGTTTTTTTCACCATCATCATTTGGCACTTTTTAAAAAAAATATATGTTTATTGATTTCAGAAAGAGGAAGGGGGAGAGAGAGAGATAGAAACATCAATGATGAGAGAGTCGTCATTGATCGGCTGCCTCCTGCAGCCCCCCACCTAGGGATTGGGCCCGCAACCCAGGCATGTGACCTGACCTGGAATCAAACCCCGATCTCCTGGATCCTAGGTCTATGCCCCTCCAGGCACCACTTCTGAATTAGTTTTTCATTCTCTTTTCCTTTCTTCTAATCCTGAAGTGAGCACATAGCCATTTTGGAGGACAGTGGGGTATTTCTGATCAAACAAGCAAGGGTTTGAATTAGACTTTTGAACTTACTAGCTATGCATCCATCTGTTTATCCTTAGGTAAATTACTTAACCTCTTTCAGTTTCTTCATTCTGCATTACTCTTACAGGGCTGCTCTGCAGATTGGAAGAGACAGTGCATGTCAGGCACTTGCTCCCTGGCTGGCATATAGCTGAGCTCATTGCATGGTAGTTCCATTCTCCAGGGTAACAGGCAGACAGGCATGACGTCACATATACTTTGGTAACCTGACTGGTCAATTAGCCTTTTATTTTATTTTTTCCCTTAGATTGTGTAAAAAGAGTAAGTTTGCCCTTAAGTGCTAATAGATTCTTGGGACAAAAATAGTATATCTAAAAGTTGGCTTACCTCAGAGAGAAACCAGGCTCAGACTATGGGATAACTTCTTACTATGTCTGCTGAAAAAGCTAGTTAGAGTTCTGCCACTGAGACCAACTCTGGGTATAAGAAAGTGGGGGACAGGGGCGTTGGCTCTGGGGGATTAAGAGCCCTCTGTTTCTTCCTCCCAGTGAATGCCAGTGTATTCCTTCCTGACCTGGTGTTGTAATAGCCCCAGGGCTGGTCTAGCTCTACAGCCTATGGGGGAAGTGATGGTGGCGGGAGTTTAAGAGAACTTCTAAGTATAGGAAGTGTTATGAAAGAGGAATTCTGATGGTTTCACTATTATTTAAGCTATTAAATAATAAGGTGGTATTTCACCGTTTTTAATCCTCACAGATTAAAAAAGTTCAGTGTGCTAGACATTAATTTACGATAGAGAAAATGTCAGTTTATTAACCTGTCTTCCTCACTAGATTATAAATATCTCTAAGTTAGGGACTGTGCCATTAATTTCATCTTTGTATACCTGTGGCCTTGCACAATGCCTACATCAGTGTGTTAAACAGACATCTATTTAGTTGAACTGAAATTGTATGCAGTGGACATTATGTCCATTTAACAGATAAGAAATTGAGAACCAGAGATGTAAAACACCATATTTTACTCGGATTACAACAGCCAGGATACCAACTGAGCTCAAAGTGATTCCAAAGTCAGTTTTCCACAGTGCTCCCTAGATTAAGAAATACTCTTGGACCATATAAAAAACTAGCCAAGGATATATACTGTGTGGGTGGGTTTGTGTCTCTTCTGTGAACTTGGAATATCTGTGTCTTTAGCCTATGAGACAAACAAGAGGATTTTCAGAGTAGAAGGAAGTTCTAGACTCATTGGTACTTTTCCTTAAATCTTTAGAACTCACCATATTTAGCTTTGGTGAAAATTGCTTATTTTCTTAAAATGAGAACTCATGTTTATGTCATTGGAACTCAGCTCAAAACACATTGGTTTCTAGGGAGACATGTAGTCAGAGTACTGAGCATATGTCTGTTCATATTTATCTTATTCTTTCATCTGACTCCTGCATATTTTTAGTCAAGTCTTATGATACTTTTGTCTTCTATTCCATGTCTGTGGAATCCACTGATGGCTTCTTGAGAGGGCTTAATTTTTGGATTCTGAAAGGGTCCCTGAGAGCTTTTCAGCTATTAGGGACAAAAAAACTCCATTTGGTAGGAAGAAAAAAGGTTAATGCACTTATTTTAAAACATTCTGCTAATTTTTTCTTCTTTGCATTTCATTCAGGTTGAAATAAGAAACATTGGAGAGATATATAAAATAAGGATTGGACATGATGGAACTAGTGACCAACCTGAATGGAGCTTACAGAGGGTAATGTTTTATATTTGTGTTTTATAGTTATTATGAAAAGAAACAGGTTTCTTAAACAATGAGAGAGATAACATATTTTTCTAATTGTTGTTATTAATGTGAACAAATACTTGTAAATTTTTTTATTTTTCAATCATAGTTGACATACAATATTATATTAGTTTCAGGTGTACAACCCAGTGATTAGACATTATATAACTTTACTAAGTGATCCTCCTGATAAATCTAGTACCCATCTGACACCACACATCGTTATTACAGTATTATTGACTATATTCCCTATGTTGTACTTCACTTCCCCTTACTATTCTGTTACTACCAATTTGTACTTCTTATTTCCACCACCATCTTCATTCATCTCCACAACCCATCTCTCATCTGGCAACCATCACAATGTTCTCTGTATCTATGAGTCTGCTTCTGTTCTGTTTGTTATTTTGTTTTTTAGATTCAATTGTTGATAGATTTGTATTTATTGCCATTTTATTGTTCATAGTTTTGGTCTTTTTTTTTCTTCCTCTTCTTAAAAAAGACCCTTTAACATTTTATGTAACACTGATTTGGTGGTGACGAACTCTGTTAGCTTTTTCTTGACTAGAAAGCTCTTTATCTGTCCTTCAATTCTAAATGATAGCTTTACTGTGTAGAGTAATGTTGGTTGTAAGTCCCTGCTTTTCATCACTTTGAGCATTTCTTGCTGGTCCCTTCTGGCTTGCAGTTTCTGTTGAGAAATCTTATGGGAGCTCCCTTGAATGTAACTAATTGCTTTTCTCTTGCTGCTTTTAAGATTCCCTCTTTGTCTTTAACCTTTGCCATCTCACTAATGGTGTGGGCCTTTTTGGGTTTATCTTGGGGCTCTTTGCTTTTCCTCGACTTTTATGTCTATTTCCTTAATCAGGTTAGGAAAGTTTTCTGTCATTATTTCTTCAAATAGGTTTCCCAGTCCCTGCACTCTTTTTCCTTCTGGTATCCCTATGATGTGAATGTTGTTATGTTTGATGTTGCCCCAGAGGCTCCTTAAACTATCCTTATTTTTAAAATTCACTTTTCTTTGTGTTGTTTAGATTGTATATTTTTATGCTACCTTGTCTTTCAAATTGCTGATTTGGTCTTCTGCTTTATTTAGCCTACTTTTGATTCCACCTAATATATTATTCATTTCAGTTACTCTATTCTTTATTTCTGATTGGTTCTTTTATATGGTTATATGTCTCTTTTTATGCTTACTATGTTTTTGTTAAGGTATACAAAGCAGACAGGTTCTAAATGACAAAATATTTGCTTCTTTGGGCTGTTTTTTCATTTTGTTAAAAAATCATTTGAACTATTTAAAATTAACCAAAGAACTTATATGCATATATCATAAACCATGGACACAGACAGTAGTGTGGTGAAGGCCTGGGGTGGGGGTCGGGAAAGGTGCGGAGAAGAAGAGGTCAATGGGGATAAAAAGAGGACATCTATAATACTTTCAGCAATAAAGATAAAATATCTATCTAAATATATCTTTATCAATAAAGATAAAAATATATATCCATTGCATTAATTGAAGTGGCATTGGTTAATAACATTGTAAGTTTTCAAGGGCACAACTCTATAATATATCTGTATATTGCACTGTGTGCTCACCACCCAAAGTCTAGTTTCCCTCTGTCACATATATTTGCCTCGCTTTACCCTCTTCATTGTCTGCACTCCTTCCCTTCTGCTAACCACCCTTTTATTGTCATGTCTATGCATTTGTTTTGTTTGTTGCTTCCTGATTTAATCTATGTATCTATCTATCTATCATCTATCTATCTATCTGGCTATTTATCTATCATCTATTTTTTAATGCTTAATTTAAAAAATTTTATTTTTCAATTACAAGTGACGTTCAATATTATACTAGTTTCAGATGTACAGCATAGTGGTTAGACACTTATGTAACTTACAAAAAGATCCCCCCAATAAGTTTTGCACCTACCTGACACCAAGTATAGTTATTACAATATTGACTGTATTCTCTAAGCTGTACTATACTTTTTTTAGTTTCCACCAAGATGTTAATTTATTAACATTTAGAATAGTATTATAAACATTATTGGAGTATCAACAACAAATATTATCTGACTCTTATCAGGTTTATCTCATTGACCTACATAGATCAATGTATATGTGTGTTTGTGTGTATCTCTTACTGTTATAATTACACATGATCTTTTTACTTCTGCCTTTTAACCTTTGTGATAGCTTTAGTGTTGGTTGTTCAACGGCTTTTATTATGTGTTTGCCTTTGTCTGGGCTACACGTGACTTGGATAAATTGACTGAAACAGAGTAGGAATGCTCTAGAAGTTTCTTGATTCTTTCGAGCCTCTGAATGGAAGTGAGAAATAGGTTTTGGTGTGTTTGTTATTTTTAAACTCCTACTTTTTGTTATGATATAATAACTTACTTGATATGAGCTCCAAGCAGTCTTGAGATTAGCTATACTAGGTAAGAAGCTGTTTATTTACTTTTGAAGTTTTAAAGCATCTTATAAATATTTCTGGTTCCTGTACATTTTCAGTTACTTCTTCAGGGTTCTATAAAGAACCATGGAAAAGAAAGAACAAGTTCTGAAGAGCAGTAAGAAAAATAGTTTGTTTTTGAGGATTTTCTAGTTCAATGAACAGCAGGAAACATCTGCTACTTATTGTCACAAAATCTCCAGTCAAATGTTTAATCTCAAAAAACTCCAGCAGTTTATAGACATATTCTAAAAGTTGTGCTAGCTTATTTGAACCAAAGATAAATTCTTGTATTTGATGGTCCTTCAGTCAGTTGTAAATACCATAATCGATCCTCTTTGTATAGTCCTTTGTAATAAATGGGGAGTCATCACAGGGAACAGCGCCAGAAATAAGGAGAATTAGAGTCAAGCTTTGACTTTGTATCTTATTTATAAGAACACTTAAAGTGTTCTGTGAAAACACAGTTAGACTTAGAAGAGGTTATGTTTAAGCTAGGTACTGAAGGATGGGCAGATTCCACAAGGGGATGAATCAGATGAGAGCTGTTGTAGGCAGAGATGCAAGTGTGTATGTGAAACTCTGAGGTGAGCAGGAATGTGGCCAGGTTGTGGCCACAGTTCTGCCCCATGCCTGCTTTGGTGACTAATATGAACACAAAAATCTCTTTTGGAGTTTCTCGTATAGATTGCTTGTTTGCCAGTGGCTACAGGTAAAACTGAAAGTTTTGAATTAGCCTATTTCAAATCTTCACGTCTCCATTTCCTTATCTATAAAGTTATAAGAAATTAAAAATTCTAATTGGTGATGGTTAAAAGAGATGATTAAAGTAAGTCACTTAGCGTAATACCTGACAAAAAAATATTGCCTAAAAAGCAACAGCCATTGCTGTTACTAATGAGGATAACCACCACCACCACCAGAGCGTGCAGTACCTTTTGGCAATCCCTGGGCTGCATTTAGAATTTTGAGTTCTATGAGAAATTGGAAATCGCATAATTTGGTTATTGTTTCTTCTGACCTCAGGTGACCATGAAGCATGTGAAGGGCAAGAAGACCCTAGATTTTGTGGCAAATGCGAGGTTATCGCGAATGCAAGCAGATGGAGACATTGTTTGTGAGCTTCCAGTCATAAAGGGAGGACAAGCTGTTTTTCCATGTGTGTTGTCATCGTCGGTAGTGTCTTTTGCACATACAAATTGTTTTGTAGTGGCTCAAATTTAGTTCTGAGCTACTTAATTACAGAATATTCTTTCTATTTCTAAGAGAGTTGTTTTACCCATTGAAAGGTAACTTTTTCAGCATCACAGCACAAGTCAGCTGCAGTCACAGGGGCTGAGGCTATGACAAAGGGAAAAATGTCATGTCTGTGCTTCATCTGGCTTTGCCTGGGGCCAGTGGTCACCTCATGTCATGACCTCACTAGCGATATACTTCCTCATCAAACCCTACATAATTTTAAACTTTAAGCATCATGTATAATAACATTGTCACCCTTGCTGCTAAAATACTAAGCATGAGATCTTTTCCTATGTCATACATAAAAAAACAGCCTTTAAAAAAAATCTTTTATTTCCCTTTCTGAAAAAGCTATTAAGCCCCCTGGGCATTTGTTCATGGTGAGAAAATGCCCATTTGAAGTGAACATTAATAATTGAAAGATCAGAAATCTCTCAATAGATACAGAATGTCCAGATTAAAGGAATTCTCTCTCTCTCTTTTTTTTTTTTTACTCTAGCCTGACCCATGGATCTGGGTTCTGTTTGTATGAATGCCCATGTAATGGACTTCCTCTTTTTTCTCTCGCTTTGCTTTGCCAGTAGTGAGATACCATGTTGATGTCCATACCGGGCAATTGAAACAAGCAGAAACGGAGTCTGAAGTTTCCCTGTGTCTCTATGGGGAGAGGGGAGACTCTGGTCTTAGACTGCTGTACAAATCCAACATGCCAGTCAAATTTCAAAGAGGACAGGTGAGTCTGCACAAATAACTTCCCATGTTCTTAGCTCTCTTTCTGAAGGTGGCCATGTAAGATTAAAACTGAAAGGTGCTTGAAACCCTTCAAGTTTTCATCTCAGGACATCTTTCACCTAAAAATTAGTGATAGTGTGAGAAAATAAAAAGATAAGCTGAGGTGAAATCAGAGAAAAATATATATGAACATGCTCTGTTGAGACTGAAATGTACAAAGCATTGTCTACAAGGCGAGGATATAGAAAGGCCATTATAGCACATTTCACATAATAACACAATAGCCTTTCTTTCAAACATCTTGCATGGAGCCAACTGTATCATTTTTACACATTAAAGTCCTTCACTATTTCTTGTGTCCTTTATATATATGTGTGAATCTTTCTATGTATTAGATGCCTGAGGAGTTGTGGTAAGATATATAATCAATCCAGTTAATGTTTTTTAATCGTCACTGAGGATATGGTTGTTTTTTAAAAAATGATTTTAGAGAGAGAAAGGGGGAGAGAAGAGAAACGTCGATGTGGGAGAGAAACATCAACCGGTTGCCTCCTGTGCGTGCTCCAACCAGGGATCGAACACGCATCCTAGTGTGTGCCCTGACCGAGAATTGAACCCACAGCCTTTTGGTGTAGGGGACAATGCTCCAACCAACTGAGTCACCTGGCCGGGGCAATCCAGTTAATTTTTAACGTTATCTTTTTGTATATAGAAAGAAAGTGTTACTTAGAGGGTCTGAAATTAAAAGTAGACATTATGTAACCCAAGGGTATATTTTTAAAAATGAAGGCTCCCAAACCAGTTTGAGAATGCTGTTTCTCATACTTTTCTGTAGTTGTAGTTCATGAAATATTTTGAAACATCAGAGATGTTAAAGCTCACCTGAGCCTTTATTTATTTTGGCACGTTATACAGAAGCTTTCATCAGAATGAATAGAAAAGCTAGAACTGGTATGGAGGAGGGGTAAAATAAAATTATGCCTAATTTTTCCTGTTAAAATGAATTCTAAATTTTGAGCAGAAACACAATTTTATATATCGTGATATTGCTATTACTATTACACCAAGTGATCAGTGAAGTTATTTACTGAAGAACCTTCCCAGCTTTCCATTAGCCCCAGACTCTCACCCTACCTACCACTTTGTGATCAGTGGTGAAGCCTCAGTTTCTTCTGGCCGCCTGCTAGTTGGCCGCCTGCTAGCTGGTCACCTGCTAGTTGGTTACATGCTAAGATTTGACAGCATCCTCTTGATTAGTCTTTTCCAGTTCCATCGTGCATAGCATTTACCACAGAGTGGAGAAGGTGTATTATAGCTTGAAATTAAAATTGCATTCAATGCATAAATAAGGGTAAAAATGGAGGTTTAGTGGCATGGTTTTAAAGTTCAGAACCAGAGATATAAAAGTGTTTTCTTCCCTGGTTCATTATAGATCTCACATTCTTCTGTTGTTTTCCTCAGTGCCTAGAATGTAATGGAAATGCTGAATGATTGCAAGAATCTTGCAGTTGAGAAACTGTGGCAACAATCTTTTTGTTTATCACTAGTATAATTTCCTACCAGCCATAACTCACATCATTTAGTCACTGATTGGGCTGGTTGTTGTCATTTTTTCTACAAAGTGTCCAGCAATGTAATCAAAAGGCAGCAACATACATAAAAGACCTAGTTTAATTCTATCTTCAGAACTTGTTACTTTAAGAAATAAGAAGAAACCAGAAGGCTGATTCAGGAAATCTTTCTAGACCTTGAGGACTTTGCTCTAAGGCAGACCATAAGACAAAGACTGGGGTACAGGTAATGTATCTGGGACGTGATCCCAGTGAGTACCTCTGAAGCGAAGAGTGGGGAGAGTGAGGCAAGAAAGGGGGAAAAGCCAAAATAAGGACATTAATGAGTTAGCCATTACTGGACCTTTTTTATGCTAGGGACCTTCAGAGAAACCCTGCAGAACACCCGCAAAATTGTCCCACCATGGAAAGTCCTCGGGCAAAGAAGCAGTGAGACGTAGGGGACTGAGAAAGCACGCTGTCAGCATGCCAAAGCCATCTGGCAAAGGAGCACATGAACCCAGGGATGGACCTAGAGGACAGGGGCCATCGGTTGTATCTGCTACAACAGGTGATGCATAGTATGAAATGTCCCTTTAGAGGCACACCAGAAAACATGCACAACCATAATCTGATTTACAGAAATATTATGGGACTAGTAATGGTTTTGGTTTGGTCTAAACAAGAGGAGATTTCCATAAAGAACATGGAACCAACAGCTGATACCCGGTAGTGTATCTTGAAATACCAAAAGTGAAATTTAACCAGGTAACAATGTATGAAAATAAGCAATCCTGAGTTTGCATTTCTCCCACAAAGTCTGGTAACAGTGGCTCATAGTCAACTGGCATTTCTGGGAACGTCTCAGACTTAATTAAATTCATGACCCTTTTCTCAGATACTTTTAGGGCGGTTACTCCCAACAACAACCTTTGAGGAAGTAACGTGTGTGAAGGAGTGCTTTTTATTCCAGTCAGTATAGCGTTTACTTTAGGTCCCACATCTCTCTGGAAATTCAGTAACTTTTGACATGACAAAGCAACTCTATTTAGAAACGAAGATTCCAGGACACTTGAGCGCAACAAACCCCAGAATGTGCTCTATATTATTTATGGAGAAAGGAATAGGAGAGGATTTTTTAAGAATGGAAGGAAGAAAGGGAGGGTGGGAGAGAGGAGAAGTTTGTTCCCACGGGCCTCAAAGCAGATCCGCACTCACGGAAACTAATGTGCTGCCTGTGAGGCCACGTGGCTGCCAACCTGATCGCCAAATAAGCTGCATCACAGGGGCAGGAATCCAAGCAAGAGAAAAGCCACGGACTGGAAGCCTTTGTATCAGGGTTTATTTATTTGTTACAGTGGATCCTACTACAATTGGAGAAGATAAAACTGCAAGAGAGAAAGGAGCACGGCAAGAAATATATTTTTAATAGATAAAAAAGTAATTTGCGTATTTTTCTTCCCTTATTACCCCTTTTGAGGCCGACTGGAGTAGCATTATCTCTTTTAAAGTATTGTGCTGCTGCTGGCCGTCCTTGGGCTATTATTATTACCTGCATCTGTCATGTGCTGGACTCAGATGATTCCTGTGGGGTTTTTCCTCTGTCTCCTGCTCCAGACGGATACATTTCAAGTCGAAGCAGTGTCGCTTGGAAAGCTGCAGAAGGCGCTGTTGCGCTGCGAGGCCAGTGACAAGTCGCAGTATTGGTATTGTGCAAAGGTCGTCGTCAGAGAACAGGGCACTACGTCTGAGTCCGTCTTCACCTGTGAAAGGTAGTGCTGGTCTCCATGTACCTCAAAAGAGTGTGTTGCCATGTGGATAATGCTGTGTGTGTGTGAGCGTATGTGTGTGTTTTAGGTGAGTGGATTTGTGTCATTTATTCAGTACTCCACAGCATGTATCACTCATTGATTGTTTAAGTAAATAACCTATCGCTAAGTTTTGCAATTAAACATTTTCTTGTCATTTCTCGGTATTTCAATGTGCTATAGATCATAAAAGGACCAAAGATTAGCACTGAAAATTATTACATACATCGTGAGAATATTTGTTTAAATGTTGGTTTCTTTACATTGCTAAAATTGTAGTGATATAACAATTTCATAAGGGAAGTAAGCAAGGACAGTTTTCACAGAGAACTCTCAGAACATAGCATAAGAAAGACAAAAGACAACGATTAAAATCTAGATAATTTGGGCTTTCCCTTGAGCCCCATAATGGTAAGTCCAGGAACCAACTCCCTCCAATTCTGACCTGGCCCTACCGCCTTTAGGCTTAAAACCCTTGCTCTCTAGATTCTTGCTGAGTCTCTTAAGAAAACTCCCAGCTTGCTAGCTAGGCACTGATATTTATTGTCACTTGGTCTCTCAGTCACAGGGAGGAGCATGGGTCCCAGACCCATCAATGCGATTGAATAAGACTAGGTTTCCACGTGAAAACCCAATCTATTGTGGAAACTTGGGCTGTATTTTGATATTTTGAGTCTTTAATGTTGGGAACTGTCCTACAGCCTTTTTTTGTAAATAAATAATCATCAGGAAATGTGGCAAAAAAATTAGGCATAAACAGGGGCATGGAAAAATTCAAGGGTACACATTTGGAGATGCCAAAACATGTGCAACTTTAATTGCTAAGAAAAAATGGAGCAAAGAAAAATGAGTCAATTCAACTAAAAATACTAAGCATATGCCACTAAAAACTGCAAACCCCAAAAAGGATTGAAGATGACTGTAACTGAAAAGGGGCCATGAGAACTACAGTGGGCTCTCCCTCTTTTTCGCCTTTTCGGTCATTACATTCGGTCAATTCCTTTTTCAGAGTGCCTGTTTAATTCATTCCTCCTTTTCTGTTATCACTTCCTCCACCCTAACCAGTGACCTTGTTTCCTTAAGCCTAGTCTATTGTAATAGTCTAACTGCCTTGATTTTTACTCTCCCAGTGTACCCTGCTCACCACTTCCAAGCTAATCATCTGTCTGATACTTACTAGCACCATTCCAACTTTAGCTTATCATTTCATTAATCTCCATTGCCTACAAAAAATAACCCAACAAAACAAAACTTCGTGATCCTTCCATTAAGGGCTTTATACTGTCTGACTCTATTTGCCCCCCTCCAATTTGTTTTTATAATTGTCCTTCTGTAAGATCTTAGTGAAATTAGACCACCTATACATTACCTGAACATGTTTTGATTTTTTTTGAGTTTAAAAAAAAA